AGCGGCAATATACTACAAAATCAATCGATTGGTGGTGATCTGATATCTTATATTGCAGACCTGGGATTATCTAGAAAGAATGATGACTCTGATTTAGAAGATGGTATTTACGGTGTTTTACCTTATGTTGCGCCAGAAGTACTAAATAAACAACCATACACAACAGCTGCTGACATTTATAGTTTTGGTATTATTATGACCGAGATGTCTACGACCTCCTCATTATGATGTCGATTATGATGAAACGTTAGCCTTTCAAATATGTAATGGATTACACCCTGAATTTGCTAAGACCACTCCTGAGTGCTATGTCCAATTAGCAAATCAATGTATGGATACTAATCCTTCTAACAGACCAACTGCATCTGATATCTATGATGAAATATCAAGATGGTATTGGATATTATATTATAATAGTGCGAAAAATAAAAATGAATTAACAATATTAAAAGCATTCCAATCTGCAGATGCAATTATTCCAACACTATCAACCGAGTTTTTTCCTAAAGATAAACTTACAAGTAAACTGCTTAACTTTAAAAATCTTTCTTTGCCAATTAATGCAGAATTGCTAACAATTAATGGTAAATAATTACGCTTATTATATCTGGTTTTTAGTTAATTGATAAAAGTTTTAATTACTTTTTAATTTTAGGCTCTATAAAGTGGGAATTTTCGATTCCTGATTCCTGATGATAATATTTCCTGTGCGTATTTAATAATTTAATTTTTTATCTATAACGATAAGAATATTAATTTATCTATTTGAATACTTCGTCTCTGCAGCTGATGACGAAGTATCAAACACAATGAATTTCATATTAAATCTGTATGCCAAATTATATATACCTGTATCTGTCAGATCAAAAAATTTTATGTATTATATATATTTATAGATTGAACATTATAAAGTATTTATAGAATACTCCAAAATTTTTTAACTGTGCTAATCAATATCGAAAATGTGTACCAGGTTGTGCTCCGGATGATCATGTGGTTGCCCGCCAAACGATCCAAACAATCATTACATATCAGCGGATTTGTAGATCACCCCAAAATTTTTGACGCATCTAAATTTGACTAGATAGTATGTCAATCATTTGA